AATAAAACCGCCAACTGCTACAATATCGTCTCCAACATCCTTGTGAATCCACGTTTCTTGTAGACTAATTACTCTTTGCTGCTCCTATTCGCAAACGTAGAGGTTGATTTAAGGTCTTCCATTTTTCCAAGAAGTGAACAGACGGTGGTGCCGAACTAAAAAGGTATGCTCATACTCGACAAATATTTCTTCCGCTGAACAGGCATCCATCCAGCACGATGCCTCTTTCAAATTTATTAAATTTTTGTAGAGTTTCCTCACTTTGCTTCGGATAAATCTAACTTGGTCTGTCACTTGCGCGGCAACGCGTAAGAATTTTAAAATTTAACTTGTGTAAATGAGCATGATACTAATGGTAGATAGAGCGGTAGGTGAGTAAAACAATATGTTTATAAATGTCACCGTTGAAGGCGCGATTGTTGGTAATTCCTTGAAAGAGGAACTTGGAGCACGGCCAAAGTTGAAGGCCCTACCGCATATGCCCCAACGACCTTGCCTACAGTGATAAACCAACTAGTCTAACAGAAATTTTATAAGCATTCATCAATGCGGACAACCGCAGTCCGGCTCTTTTCCTTTTCCCTGTTCATAATCCAAATGTCCGTAAATTTCTGTGTAATTTAGACTATAACGTCTGTCGTAAAATATAATCGACTTGGAGGTTGAAACCTTTCAAGCGATTGCATCTTTTTATGACATTTCGTTCATTTCAGTAGCATGAGTAACGCAGTGTGACGACCTCTTGTAGACGTAAGTAATTCGTATCCGTCTCCAGCCAACCATGATAACTGGGACAAATAGTATGGAGGTAACTGTGAAGTCGTTAAAGAGATAAAACGAAATTCGCGCCTCTACCAACACACATACCTTTCATCGCGCCATTCAGTCTTCTCCATTCCATCTGAGTGTCACGGTGACTAAAATCGAGCGGGATAACGGCCAGAAACATTGTGACTTTAGGTGTGATTTGCATGGTTTTATTGTTTGAATATCAAAACAATCAGTATGTTATCCAGTGAATTTGCCAGGGACGAATTTATATGCACTATGAGCCAAATAAATAAATAAGTGTTTATTCCCGTCGATTCGATACACGCCTGTGTTTGTTTGAATGGTGTGGTATAACCAGGTAAAAAACATAGATCACAAGATTTCAGTAAAGTTCAAAACACAAACTTTGATAGTTGGACAAGCAAAAGTGATAAGAATTCTTCCTAAGGCAGATGTTTAATATGTTGTATTTCCAGACGTTTGAAAAACATGTGTTTAAATTGGTACAAGAGGATCAAAAATTCCAGAAATATGGGAAACAACCGTGGTATGACAAAACGTGTTTTGAAGCGGCACAACAGACGCAGTAAACTGACATCAGAATTGTAAGATTCGTTCGAAATGGGTTTTGTATTTTATGTGCAGTTAAATTAAAATCTGACTGAGGTGGTGAGCAAAGATCGAATAACGGAGTAGTCGGTTGCGGAGGTTGATGATGCAAAATTTTTCTATCATCTTGTAACAAGTACGAAGTGGCAAGAATACAATCTTTATCGCACACAAGCACTTTTCAACATGCAGCACCCACGCGCGCATGTGTCGACCACTTTCCCCTGCCACCAGGCAACATACATGTAGAAGTACAAAAGTTCACATTCTTGCGTCGTTTATCCGCAACTTTGTGGGTTTGGATGCCTAACTGCCTCCATCGCTAACATTATGACCAACGTAGAGTTGTTCAATGACTCTTGATTTGCTTGTTGCGGTTATGTTCTTCATCGTCAAGTTACTCCTTGATACACTGAAAAAAGCGTATGTCTGATATATTGGCCTTTCGACGAATGCTCTCTCTCCTCTTTAGCTCAGCTCCGTACTCGTTCGCTGCTCGCGATCCGATCTCCGATTGTTTTGTGGGGCTTGCGTTACGCCGTTCGATCTCGTCCGTGAAGACTGTGTACTGTTTCCCACCTCGTTTGTTCTAGTAGCTTTTCATTCTTCCGCGTGCTCGTTATCTTCCCAGCCACTAGAATATTAGGCCTGATTACACCGAACGAGGAGAGCAAAATATCCCAAGTAGATGATCAAGGTTGGGTACGCTGTTCTGCTTCCGCAGGACCTCCTAAACTAGTATAAATTGTAATTTCGTGGCATATTGCTGGTAGCGAGGATGTGGAAAATTGTTTCAAGGAAAGGCAGAAGAATCTTCATCAGAAAACGACAAAAATCCATGGAGTTGCAAATTGATTACGGAGGGCATTTAAGGCCGCCTCAGATCCAAGCAGCAACACCAGTAACTGTTGCTTTTGCTCCGTTCCATATTCGTGCTGCGCTGCACCATCAAACATACACAAGTTACACAGGAAGAACTGGATTACTCTGTTCATAATGCAGGCGTCATTGGGTTCAAGACTCCAACAAAGGTGTCTTCTTGCTATTAATGTTATTTCATATCTAACGTAGCACAAATAGTTAGAACTTTTGTCTAGTAACCAAATTTTTCTCGAATTCTAGCAATATGGGTCCCATTAGTGTTTTAGAAATATCTGATAACTCACGTAACTCGCGTAACTCACCCAAACTTAGTCCAAATGCATTTCTGCTGAACAATGGAAGCCACCTGTCCTCTATACAATTAGGACATGCTATCCACATGAACGAGATGTACTAAGAATTAAAGCAACTGTTGAATTTCATTGAGGAAGTAGAATACAACTGAAATTTCTTTGATAGTTTGAAGATAGCTGATTTCTTTATAGTGTTGTTGCTTGTATGTAAGAAATGCTCATGGTTCTTGTGCAGATGGCATAGCCAAGTAGGATCTTTGCACCAGCTGCGGTGGGAACGGATTCCTGAATATACTGTAACAGTTAAGGAGAAGAATATCTGCCACCTAGTTCTGGCTGAACCCGTAAATTCTTGCTACCACCCCTACAGATCAAATAAGTTTGATGAAACATGTGGCGGAACCCATGGGTGACGCTACGCTATCGTTCAGGTATCTGCATCAAAATTTACTTAGCAGTATTGAAGCAAATATCAAGAACTATACTTCTCTGGAGATTTGCCTAATCTATTAACGAAGCGTTTGCAGCTAAAACATCAAGCTAGGTAAACAGCTAAATATCTGCATGAGTGAAACAAAGATTAAAAATCGGTTGTGTGGATTTTCCGATTCCAGAGAAAATTGAATACAAACATTTCGGCAAATTGTTGTAGAGTGAGGCAAAATGGATCAGCGTGTATTACCACTAGTTTCAACTAACCTTACAGGGAGCATTTTGGCACAGAAATATAAGAAATTAGTAGAGGACAGGCCAATATAGTATCCGAAACTGGACAACAATACGTCCCTAAACTCACACTTTCTTTATACTGGAATTTCTACCCTGAAAACTGCAGTGGGGTCATTGACAAACATTTCGAACGTTATTATCAACATATTGCAAAAATGTAACAAGGATACCAGGAATCATGGTCCACCACCGTGATGGCTAACTAGTACTAGACGCTCGCCAGGGATACTCCCAAACTACTATGCAAAAAGCAAGCAACATTATCCAGGAGGAAGCATATAGTTTTCACATTTTGCATGTTTTAATTTATTAATGGTATGCAATGTTGTATAGTTTGTATTGCACGCAGTTAACGAGGATCACAAAAGTACTGGAGCTCAAACTGATAATGCCCAAATTGTACCTAGACAACATGCTTCCAATAACGCTGCTCCGTGTGATTGAATGACGTATGAATGCGCGCGTGGGAGTTGCAGTGATGACAACTACCCAATCTTTTGGAAGCGAGTTTCACTCATAACACTCCTTTATCCCCCATGATTTTGAGAAAGGTGGCAATCTATTAGGCTGTGTGCGTTACGTGACTTTACAAAGATCGCTGTGCACTTGCAGCCATCCAACAAGATTGCGTCATTAGCCGGTTAGCTGCCAATTTTCTGAACCAGCACATGTTATTATGTATAGCCACTCACTGAACATCACTTACATTTAGATTATAGGTATATGTGCAACAGCTGTGTAACACTTGTCAATGTTCTTTCGCGTTACCACGAAGTGTTTCGTTCACTGATATTTAATGGATACGGATTCCTTTGCTTTATTATAATAATGCGTATGGTGCTCAACTGTGAGATAAGCTTCGCCTGAAATAAGAAAAGATCATGTGTGCATTAAGTATCATGATAATGAATGATTGAGATGTGTTTACTGGAGCGTCTGTCACCAGTACATTCTGGAATACATGGCTTTTGCCGTTGCTGAGCTTTGTGTAACAGCGTTTCTGGCTTACCATATGTGCTTGGTTGGCTTCAGGATAACTGATTTGATGATTTTCCTCACAAAAACATAGTCATTATCAAGTCCTGATACAGGAAAATCTGAAGTTTGAGTAGAAAAGCTGTTGCATTTGTACAAGACCTGGTAGTGGCCTGGGGGCTTTATGATGCTTAGCTTGGAGCTGGTTGGCTGCTGTGGTTCGCAATTTGGCTACAAGACTCCAGTGAGTGAGCATTCCCTTATGTTCACTTGTCTATGTCAAATTTCCGGCACTTTTCTTTTAATTCATACTAGCCAGGGAAAAGTGGATAGTTTGCGTCATAATTGTGTCCCAAAACACAGGTCAGTATCTATCCATTCAGTTGCTTCCTAACTTTATTCGCACTCTTTTACCACTTTCAGCTTGTTACCAGTTTTTACGGAATCGCATTCTCGGTGACCCTAGTTGAATCAAGCAATTTACTACTTATTGCGCCACTTTTACAGATCAGTTTCAGCCCAGAAGCCGATCCCCTTTAGTGGTGTTCCCTCACCAGTGACAGTCAAACCACGCGTCCAACCGGTTACGTCCGCTCTGAACCGTGCTACGATTGGTCAGTCGGAGGATAACTGTCAGTCGCTGACAAAGCAGGAAGTGCGGTCGTCGTACGCTTTATGTGACTATATCCAATGTCTCCGTCCCCCTGGGCAGAAAAATGTGGGAACAGTCACAGAGACTTATAAAAGCAGGGCAGTGTTGCTTCACCCTCATTTCGAACACGTCGGTTAGTCCACACGCTTTGCAAATACAAGTAAGTTCCTTTGGTTGCATCTCATAAAACTTGACATAGTTATGTTCTTCAATGTCAGATTGAGCCGAAAATGGTTTCCTATCATGTTCTCACCAGTAATTAGGAATATCCCAGACAGTACTTTGTACCTTCTTAAAATTTTTGTGGCAGAAAGGGGCCTTTCTAGAACTCCGCTGATTTTCGTCTAAAGTCAGCAGCTTATCATCACCAATCATTTAACTAACTATTACTGGTATGCATGGGACTGCCTACGATTTTCGCTAAACAAACCGTTAAGTAATAATAATGTATAATGCGCTGGTGGTAGCTGGTTAATGTGCGATGCACAATGTTATTAAGATATAGAATGTTCTGTATGGTAGAGCAATAGACCTATTGATCCTCTAGCTGCCTTTTTAGATATATTCCAAAAGCTGGTCACGATTTTGCAGTATTGCAAATGTGCCCAAAGGTTACTGCACCTGATTTCAATGTAGAAGTACTAAATTGAAGGAATCGTAGTTTTGATTGTGTATATGAACATATGTACCAATAAATTCCGCTGCGTTAATGGTTATTTAACAATCCCTAGGTGTATACAGTAACTTCAAATATGCTGTTGAAAGGCGACATTGGAAATTCACTCGTATAATCTAGAAACCCCAGCTAATACATCGGTAATGAGAACATATTCTTGCAGATGTAATATTCCACTATACTTCGTGAACTTAGTCGACGTAAAGTAAACTTGTGGCTTCAGCCTTTATAGCATGGTGCAGTGCAAGTTGGGGCTGTAACTTAACAGGGCTTAACGATCGTATTAATTCAGAATGGTTTTTATAATTGTCACGGTTTGATGTAACTCTGTTGGCTGAGCAGCAGGAACGAGTAACAGGAGTACATATTTAAGGTGTGCGACGAACTGGGTAACTCAAAACTAATAAACTGCTACAATTTGTTTGCACAATGTCTGCCAACCAGCTTCCAGTACTAGGCATTAATTGACGTTGTAAGTTCAAACCATTTGAATTCCGATTTGGTGTATCCATACGAAATTCACGCCTGCCGCGACTCCGCATGTACTCGCGCACGACCTCAAAGGAAATAATTCTAAACACTTTTCAGTACTTAACTATTTGATCAGAAATATTTTGTGTGCAAACTATCCAAGGGCTTCCGGTGATCATCATGCCGGCTAGGGATGTACAGTATCATTTCTCCAGTTTAACTTTCTCCTTCCCCATTTCAGAATGTCGCGAAAAGTAAATGGAGAGTGGACTCACACAATGTGTGTGGCTCGTGAGCTGGCGAAGCTTGGTGATGAGTTCAACGAATGCTTCGCAGGGTGCAGTGTTCTGCCAGTGACACACATTAGGAGTTTCACCCAGTGGACATCGGTGAGAAGAAGAAGGAACAACATAGGAACTGAAGAGAGACAGTTAGTAAGTTTCACATGTTAGCACTTGCATACATTGCCAGAGAATTTATTTTTCGATCGTTAGGTTATTTTGTGTCTACGTGAGTATTCGAAAGCCGTTGGGTGACGTGTCCCTGCTTTGCCTGGAATAGAAGTTCCCTTTAGACTGGCTGCTTTTGTTTTGTGTTTCAGTCTTATTCCCTTTTGCAACATACGTTTCTAGGTTTATATTTTTAGTGTACATGCACTGTATATCAAAACATGGAAACTTGAAAAGTTATTTCACGCGTTCTGAAGAAGCAATTAGTTAGAAATCAGAGGTAGCAGGTGACCTGCTAATGAAAATCGAGTTGGGAACTAAGAAAAGACGTTTACTCCACCCCAAAGCTTTTGCTTTCCCAGAAGCACTTTGTCTCAAAGTAAGGCTTCAGGGAATGGAGCGTAAGCTTGCTTAGGCAGGGGCATTTTGGTAAATCTTTAGGGTCGCTGCTTTAGAATTCTCAACGCTAAGTGGCGTTTTGCTGCACACTGCACATTTAGTTGGAACAGTTTCCATTGCGCTCCAAAGGTTGACATCATCGAGGCAGGTTAAGGAAAAAGATTTGTGGGATGCAGTAGTCATAATTATTGTTCTATTAAGTTTCGCATATTAACCTATTTAAACTGCCGTGAGACGGCGAAAGTTGGAACACCTCATGACGCCTGTGCAGTTCATAAGGTATTCAATGTTATCCTACTTCCCACAAACCACTATGGCAAAATTTAAACTTCGTGAATTCCGCGCATATGGGATGGCAGCTAGGGAAACATAAACACTTGCACGTTACCAAGTAAGTTTTGCGTCGGTGTTAAGATATAATGCAGTTCTTAATTCACAACTATACGCCTTCTGATCAGTTTTTCCGACGGAGCGATGTCAGTAGTGTGTTATGCAAATGCTGCAGTCTTATTTTCGTGTGCTACGAAGAATTAAGCGCGCAGTATTTCTTTAGTTTATTTAATTCCCTGCTTTTCCCTAAAGAGATTACTCATTATTATACTCAGTCACACAGTCATTACCATCCTGGAATACATCGGAGTGCCGTATCATTCTTACGTATTACATCTGCGATGGGACAGAGGTACTAACTGATGTGACGAACGTGTCTAGTGATTCTAGCCATGTCGAGCATTCCTACTTTGTGTGCTGAATCCCCGTATTACATGTTTGTAAGACTGCTTCCTAACATGTTCTTGAGGCTACAGGAGCATCACGATGGCCGAAAATGCACTTTTTTAAAAACCAATAATGCACCTTCATTGGCAGTTTGTCAATCACGCGCCAAGTAGATAATTACTTTGTTTAACATTCAACGGATGTACTTAACAGTGTCTCACATGACGTGGTGAACTACATTAGCTTTAATACTTGCATCCGGCATATTCCAGCATAGTACACATACTACTTTTAAGCGTTACATTTAAACCTGTTGAACGTTTGCATGAAATTCATTGCAACTTCATTATTTCGGTTTCAGAGTGCAAATCTAATCTGCAAGAGCTCAATGGCCTTCACAAGAAAGTTAAAGGGAATAGTTTTGGTCGCCGCCTTATATGCCTTTCTGAAACTGACATGAAAGTTAATCGCAAAATTATGAGTGGACTAAAGGTTGTACTCCAAACCTCGAGCATGCCGAAGATCCCTAAAGACAGTGCTATACGCAGTGGCCAACCAATGCCTTTCAACGACAGGCGTTTGCTGACGCAGTCAAAATGTGCAACACATTATCCGGTAAATTATCCAGACTGGTTCAAGTGGTCACAGTGTGCGTTTGTGAATCATTTTCTATTAATAGAAGTTATTGCAATCTTGTTTGTCTCTGCTGCTCCTCCGAGAATACAAGGAGTCTAGAACGTAAAAGACACCTGTTTAACAGGTGCAAAATACAATAGTTGCGGTACGAGTAAAATCACAAAGATGTAACAATCTTGTAGGATGATCTGCCCGACACTCAGATGTTCAAAGCGAAATATCAATAAAATCACTAGAATCTTAAGCCGGTCAACTGTGGATTCAATATTTTAAGAGTAAATAAATGAAACTAAACTTGTGTATTTACCGACAGACAGTACACGGCTCCATAAGTGGGAGTGATCATTTTAATAGATACCACAAGTTAAAACCGACTATATCATATTTGCATACTGGTCGGTGGGCTTAACCGATATGCGTTCGTCCAGTGAGGTCGAACGTTGGCTGCATAACGTAGTTGCAATTTGTGGAGTATTTCTGTAGGTATAACTTGGGTAAGCAAATGCTGACTGGGAGAATGGTTTCCTAAAACCGGTCGTGCAGTACATGGTACTGTGGCTGGTAACATGTCATACCCATCTGTTTCATTTACAATTCGTGAGATCCATTTGACCAAGGTTCACCTCACTACGCAATAGGGTCCACATTACATGCTGGCAAGCATTCACACAACGAGTGATAGAAAACGTGACAAATGTTACCCAACGCAGCCCGTTGGCTTAAGATTGGGGTTCTTGCTGACATTTCACAAAGGGCACTGTTCGATGGCCTTTAACTGCCTTTAACTGATGGGATGAAATAAGTTGGCGAAAGGTCGTTGAGTGCGGTGACTTCGGTCTGGCACACACACAATATTCATCTGCATCTTCAGCTGCTATCATACTGAACGAATTGATCAACCTTCACTTCAATGGGAATCCCAGTCAGCACTGAGATTGCATGTCACAATTCATTGACATAATGTGTAATCAAAAACAACCCTTCAATCAACATCTATGCACGTTTATATTCATTGGATAAACACTTGTTCTATTACATAGTACAAGTTCTACTAGTCGCATAGTCCTATTCAAAGGGATAAGGTGGGTGAATAAATTCGTAGAGAAAGGCTCTTGCGCAAATCCAACTGGTTATAGTGAGTGAAAAGTTTCAGCTGTTGGTTTCTTATGTTGGTTTCTCAGATAATTCTTGAACTTGGTGATAGGTGTGACTGGGGTCTACAAATGTTTGGTAAATCGAGAAGTAGTAACTCGTAGATGAAGCTTTCCACTGTGAAGTTTTAGTGCATTCAGCTGCAGGTGGTAGGAGGTGGAACAACCTCAGAGGATTCACAAATGCCATTCGTAGTATGGTTTCATACACAGTAAATTCACCCGTCTGCCTTCGTTGTCAGACCTGAATGGGCAATCCACACTATGCCCTACGTACACGTCAAGCGTTTGTGCGAAATAAATGGCTAGAATCTATTGAAAGCCTACCCTAGAAAACTAACATACTTGCTCCCGTTTGTTGTCATCTGAGTAGCTTGCTCCAAGCATCTGTCGTTATCCCGGATCAATACCTCAGAGTTGCTCTCTTCTTGGATGGACCGTAAGATTTAGCCCCTATCATACATGGCTTATTGGGCTGTAAATCTGTGTGAGTCCTTTTGCATGTGTTAACGTCAACTGGTGGCGGATACATCTTTGTCTATTCAGAAACCTTCAGACTTCGCTGCAGCTAGTTGCCATTTTCTTTACCAATGACTGTCGCTATATCCTGCAGAGACCCAGAAATTCAATGTGATTACACGGCAACAGTGGTTTCGGTGCGGATCGTGGTGTTGCACCTAGTTCAGCCTCAATCAAACCAGTTATTTAGCGCGGAACACGCACTTACAGCCACTGATGAAGAGGAAATTTTGCGATAAACATAAGGAGCTGGTTTCAGGTTCGCAGGATCGCGGCTTACAAATAATCGTACTATGATCCAGACAATTGGATATTTCGGAGTAGATTTGATACATAACCCTGACTACCGTCTTATTGACACATTGGTTCGATAACCACGTCAAATGACAGGTTTGATGTAAACGACCAAGGAAAAGAAAGCCTTTCTGTTCCGCCATTATGAAATCAAATGATTGTAGATACTCCACTAGTTATTCAGTACTTATCGCTTCCATGACTCTAGAGAAACTGTTGAAAGGATCGCTGAGCAACAGTTTGCGTGTTCTGAACAGTTACCAAGGTCAACAGTTGAACTACTGATACCTTAAGTTAACGTCGACTGTCCTACTTTTCATCAAAGCGCTTTGCATAGAATCGTGATAATGCGTTCGGTAATTTTGCAACCCCCACCTTAAACGCTGTAGGGCCCGTGCCGCCAACTACCAGAATATTGTGAATTCCCAACGAAAACAACTTCACTAATACAGTCGCTGAACTGAAAATGAAGTCGGTAAGTCCAGACACCGGGGGTTATAGGTGGGTTTTTAGTACTAGCTGGTAGTAAATCGGAATGTTGGAGCGTATTGCACGTGTAAAGCATTGGTTCCTTCCTCGGCGCTGTGTGCCACTCCGGTAGTAGAAAAAACTGGCAGAAGGCAACAGGTCAAATTTTCGTAGATCATTCACATGCTTGTACAGTAACATGTTATTGACACTAAGGGAGCAAGCAAAATGCCACGAATAATCCTAGCTTCTATTTGCTGACCTACGCTTGTGAAGTGATCGCACGAATCCTGTTCAAAGGCAACTTCACCCATGTCGTCGAACCGTTCGTGGCAGATGGTGTTCGCGGCACCGTACTTGCAACAGAAATGTAAAGAGCGACAGCAGCCACTGCACTTGCTGTTTGTTGACTTCACCAAGGCATTTGACACGGTGAACCGCGAGGCATTGTGGCTGGTTTTGGGTAAGTTTGGTGGTCCGAGTACTTTCGTAATTCTAATAGAATATCTGCATAGTGGTACGTGGGCGAGGTTGCAGCTCTGTGGACAAAACTAGGATGACTTTGATGTTGTCTCTGGTGTAAACCAAAGTTCTGTCTTAGCCACTGCCTGTTAACTACTTATTTTCATACAATGATGTATGTTTCTGGTGCTTGTGATTGCGGTATCAGTGTGGAGTGCTGTATAATTGGTGAGTTGTTGAACTTACGTCGTCTCGGAGCAAGAATCAGAGTGTGTAGAGCAACCAAGTGTACGCTGCCCTTTGCCGAGGACTGCTCGCCGTTTGCACACAGCGCAAATG